TTTTGATTCTCCAGAATTTGCATTCTGCAGTGGTTCAAAGTGCAGTAATGGAAACAAACAGAAGCATGAATTACCAAGGTGTGCTGTTTCCATGCAGGTTTGTCCTGCTACTCCTTTATGGCTTTGCAAATGTTGTCATAGATCGGCTTTCAAGCTTCCACCAGAAACCCTCTTTACCATGCCTAGGTTTTCTCTAGATTATAAATTATCACCAGAATCCTCTCTTCAAGAAGTCTCAAAACCATTGTGTCCCTTCTGTGGGGTGCTCCTACAGCGATCACAGCCAGAATTTCTTCTCTCAGCCTTGCCCGTGTAAGCTTCATGTTGTATGTTCACTTATATCACTGCTAGTATTTATAGATTATTGCAGAGTGTTAGTATGAATGAAAAAATTTATCATTTTTCCAAAAGGAATGGGAGTACATCGTATGCTAGAAAGTTTTGCGGCCATGACCTGGTATATTTAGACTGGCATGTTGGGAAGGAGAATTAAGGGGCATTTTGTTTGTTGCTTTCTTAAACATTTTCCAAGTTAAATATGAAGTTGTAGTTTTTCAGTTGGGTGTCTCTGGATTGACTGGAAAAATGTATTAATAAATCCACTTGCATCTTGATTCATTAATAATATTTGGTCATTTATAGCTAGAAATAGCATTTTTTTACTCAATCCAGATTAAAAATAGCTTCTTCTTCTTCTTCTTCTTCTTTTTTTTGTTTGGGGGGGAGGAGGAGGAGATTAAAATAAGTCCACATTTGACTCTATATATATGAAGTGCGTTTATGGAAGGGCAAAAGGTATGGCCTCGTGGGTTGTGGGGTAGCCGTGGCCCCTTTTTGATATGTTAAAATTAATGGGTTGTGGACCCTTCAACTTACCAGCAAATCAAATCTTGAAGTCTGTGCAAAACTTACTTTTCAATTCTCCTGTTATGGTTGTCCAAAAAAAACAAAAAATCTCTTCCATTCTAGAACACACACAAAAAAAAAAAAACCCTTCTATTATATATTTACATTTGCATAAAATTAAAAATATTAAGAATAACTTTGTTATAAAATAGTGAGACAAAATATAAGTTTGACTTCTGTTTGAATTGGGAGAGTTGAGGGAGGGGAGGAGAGCTAAGGAAATATCTCTCCTTTTTTAATATTTGGATAATTTCATTAATGAAGGAAGAATGAGAGGGAGGTGGATAGAGGAACAATAGACCTCTCATCTTAACCCTTTATTTTTAATTCCTTCAATTGAAGAGAATTTGTTAGAATTAGATTTATTTTTATTTTATTTTTTTACATTTTTTTCAAAAATGTAATTGAAATTTATATTTTAACTTTAATATTAATATATAAATTTATAAAATTTTAATCTATTTTATAATTATTTTTTTTAATTTATTTAATTAAAAAATTAATCTCTCCCTTCCTTTCCTTCCTCTTTTTTAATCCATCGAAACAAAATTAAAACTAATTCTTTATCCTCCTTCCCTTTTGCTCTCTTTGCTTCCACTCTCTTTCCTTTACTTTCCTTTACTAATTTTTATCTAAATATAGTGTTAAGTTCCATCCACTATATAATTGAGATTGAAAATTTTCATTTTCATTATAGATATCTATATTTAATTTTTTAACTTTGTAAAAAAATTGATGAATTCTGAATTCATAAAAACTTTTCTAAATGAAGTATATTTGTGGAAGCAAAGCATAGAAACAGGCTGTGGCTATGGCCAACGGCCAACCATCAATTTGTTATGGCCACACAATTTTTTTATATTTTATCTTTTATAATTTTTGTAGGCTAATTGTTATAACATTTTCAAATATTTGCCTATAAACTTATTTTAATCTATTAAACAATAATAATTAATTGTTTTATTAGTTATCTACTCTTCTTAATAACAAAACTAAGATAAAAATTAGACAATTTATGTGATCATAACAAATTGATGAGTCGCCATAACCCTAACCTAAAAACATAATCTTATCATAATATTATCCTAGCCTAATTGTTAGCTATTAAATTCCAAGAAGGACACACTTAGGAATTCAAATCCTTGCAAAAGATAAAATGTGTATATGATGTTAAACCTTTGAGAAAGACAGGTGTAAACAGTAAACTTTCTTTCTTCATTAACTTTTTTTGCGCAAATTGGGAAACAGAACAAATGAGTAGTTGAGAGGTTTGGAAAGTGCTTGGCAGGCAAAGGGATGATGGTACTGGTACGTTGTTCTTTGTTGTTTTCCAGGTGTTGGAAGACATAAACAACTGCAGCTGCCTGTCTCCTTTGCTCATTTTTAGCAAAACTTTATTAGCACAGCAAGAGTGGGATCAAAATCAAAGAAAGCTGTGGCTAGGAAAATACTGAAATAAATACAGCCTGGACCCCTCCCTCAAGCCTACCTTGCCTGAGGGTTCGCTGATTCCTACTCTTTGCCTAATGTTTGGTTTAAATGAATTTTAGAAAAAAAAAATTGTAGAATTTATTTTCAATTTTACAATATTGTGTTTGATTTGAGTAGAAAAGAGTTATTTTAATTTCACAATTTGAATTTTACATTTTTTTGGGTTAATTAATAAATTTGAAAAGTTTTTATACTCAGCCATTTGAAGTCATGTGATGAATTTTATTGTTAAATTAGAACATTAATTTTTTTTTATTAAGTAATAATAAAAAGTAATATTTTTTCATTCTTTAATTTATTAATGTATTTAGAACTTAAATCTTATATTTTATTTTTACTAAAAGAAAATTACTTAAATACTAACAGATAAAATATTCGTTTTGCATTACTTAAAAAATTTTATTTGTAATTTTGTATGCATGTACAAATTGCAAATACACATGTCGGATCAATGAATTGCTTATAGAAGATTTTTTCCTTTGATGGAAAATGAATAATATTATTTAAGCAGCCCCATGGTTATAAATAGAGCCTGGAGTGATCTAAACCAAACACCCTCCCATGGGACGCTAGGCGAAGTTAACTAAGCAATCCTATGTACTAAACTGATTACAGTTTCTACTAGCTAATCTACAACTGCATGAGTTAAACATTAAGCTCTAGCTCGAAGGTCATGTACTACTGCTCCTATTGAGAGGAAGCATTCGTCCTTTAAGTTCACAACAGCTGCCGCCTGTGAACAATCTTTTTCTATTATTACATCTTTGCATCTAAATTCCCTTCCTAATTGAGCAGCAAAATGAATGGAAAGGATTTCAGCATGAAAACAGGGTCCTTTAAAAGTAAGACCTTCAACCCACTATCTCTGAGGACAACTCCAAGGCGCATAACTTCCTGTCCCATGGGAATGGCAACATCAATGTTTATTTTAAGGACAGTGATTGGTACACACTCTGATTCAACATATTACATGACATATTTATTAAAAAATTATTATTTTTTAATCTAAAATTAAAGACAGACAAATTTAGTAATACAATCATACACATAGGATACATGAACTGGTTGAATTGACTGCAATTTATATTATATTTTTAATGACTAAACTGAAAATATATCAAAAAATATATTAAACCGAGGGTGTACCAATCATTTTTCTTATTTTAATAACACCTTCCCTCGGCACTTCCCAACTATGCAGGTCTCTATGGGAACCTGCAGCCTCATTGTTGGCCACAACTACATCATCCCCTTTTATTTTACTTAATTTTTTGCAGTTTTATGTGCTAAATGGTAATATCTTATATGTTTGTAAATATTATGGAAACACATCATGCTACACCACCAATCACGGCTCAGTCACCTACACAGGATATCAGATCCTAATCATCCTTACAATCAGCCATTGATAATCATATATTCTGCATTTATAAAGTTTCATTGTATTATGTATGTTGCTATTTTTACAAGCTCTTTCCATTTGTGTTAGGGCAACACCTCACTTGTATATATGTATAACTTCTGTGAATGAATCAAGTATCTTTCCCTCTCAATCTCTTATTCTTCACCCTATTAGTGGTATCAGAGCACTTTCTCAAACGAGCATTATCAATGGCCAGTGAGTCCTCCACAACCATTACCTCTCCCGTTTCCACTAATGCTACCATTCCTATAGGGCAAAACACCATAATCACCTTCAATGCCGCTGCTCACTTTCCTCTTAAACTTACTCCCAGCAACTATCCATCTTGGCGGGCACAATTTCTATATATTCTCACTGTCTACAAATTAACTGGCTATCTCAATGGATCCAAACCTTGCCCGCCGCCACCAACCAAAGAGGTTCCCGACTCACCGTTTGAACTAAGGACTCGCCAGGATCAATCAATCCGGCATGCCATTCTCACATTGGTTTCGGAACCAATTGCCCCCTACATATCTAAGGTAGAGTCCTCACAACAAGCTTGGAGAATCCTGGCTAATCTCTAAGCAAACCACTCAAGATCTAGAGTTTTTACACTCAAGGAGCGCCTCCAGAATACTCGCCGTGAAGGCCGAACTGTTACCGAATTTCTCCATAAACTCAAAGTGCTTGCTGATGAACTTGCTGCCATAGACAAACCCCTCACCAACGATGATCTGACGGTGTATGTTCTCAACGGGATAGGACCTGAATTTTGTGAGATCTCTGCTTCACTCCGCGCTCAAGACGAGCCACTTTCTTTTGAAGAACTTCATGACAGATTAGTTGCGCATGAAGAAAGCATGCACCGGGAAGAAACCCGACTTGAAAATGCATAGGTGACTGCTCATTTTGCTGCCATGCCCATAAGAAAGCCTGCTGGTAATACTCCTAATTTTTCAACAAATTCTGGTTTCTCAAGTACTACTCTTCAGTCCAATGGTGCAGGAATCCTACCACTGCCACAAAGTATCCAACCATTTGGATCAGGCCAACATTTGGCAGGAGGAAGAGCTAATGGGCGGAACAGGCCAAACCAATTCAACAAAAGAAGAGGCGGCCCAACTCGGCCCAATACTGGCAGACCCCATATCTCTTGTCAACTTTGCAACCAATTTGGGCATATAGCTCATACTTGTTATCTATTTCGGAATCAAGGCCATGGACCCACGGCTCACTATGCAGCATCTACCGGTCCAAGCACTAATGGGTGGTTGATTGATTCAGGTGCTAATAATCACATCACCACCAATCTGTCCAACTTGGCACTCCACTCCGAATATAATGGCTCTGATGAACTATTAATTGGAGATGGCTCAGGTTTGCAAATCACTCATGTTGGCCATACCACTCTCACAACACCCTCCTCATCTATTCCTTTAAATAATGTTTTATGTGTACCTACTGCCTCTCGCAATCTTATTTCTGTGTCTCAATTATGCAAAACTACAAATTCCATTGTTGAATTTCACCCAAATTTTTTCTTGGTGAAGGATCGCAACACGGGGGCGATACTACTGCGAGGGCCAAACCGACATGGGATGTACCAAGTTCCTCCAATGGGTCCCACTAAACAACTACCTATGGCACATTTTGGGGAGAGGACATCGACAATAAATTGGCATGCAAGGCTGGGACACCCATCTTCCAAAATATTCAAAAAAATTCTCAGTGTTATTAACCTGCCATTAATAAATAAAGCCGATGACTTTTATTGTGATTCATGCTCTTGTTCTAAAAGCCACAAACTTCCATTCTCCAAATCTTCTATTAGCAGCCATGCCCCTCTTGAATATGTTTTTTCTAATGTTTGGGGTCCTGCACCCATTATTTCTATTGATGGGTACAAGTATTTTGTTATTTTTGTGGATCTTTACAGTCGTTATGTTTGGTTATACCCAATCCAAAAAAAATCAGATGTCGCAATAATTTTCCCAAAATTCAAGTCATTAGTTGAAAATCAATTTGGGCGTAAAATAATTAATTTCTACTCTGATGGGGGTGGGGAATATGTTGCTCTTCGCAATTATTTTCAACAAAATGGTATTTCTCATTTTACCACTCCACCTTATACTCCAGAAATTAATGGCCTTTGTGAAAGAGGAACAGGACCATTGTTGAGACTGGTTTGGCCTTACTTCATTATGGCTCTCTACCACCTCAATTTTGGTCTCATGCTTTTCAAACTGCAGTATATTTACTTAATCGCTTACCCACTCCTGTTTTGTCTTTCAAATCACCATTTCAAAAACTTTTTTCTATTTCTCCAAATTATTTAAAACTCAAAACCTTTGGATGTGCTTGCTATCCCTGGATGCGTCCATACACCCAAAAGAAACTCCAAGCAAGATCTCGTCAATGTATTTTTGTTGGGTATTCTGTTGATCATTTAGGTTATAAGTGTTTTGATCCCCAATCTAATAAAATTTTTATTTCCAGACATGTTATTTTTCATGAGGATTTCTTTCCATTTCGGGTCTCCAATGGCAAATCTACCCTCCCATATCCAGCTAATCCCGATCCTACCCAACCTCAAGTCTCGATTCTTTCCTCTTTACCTCATCTTCGGCCCACCATCCCCCCAGCCGCCTCATCACCGGCCTCAATTCCAAATCTCTCCCGTGATCCTTGCCCAACCTTGCCTGCCTCCCTGCCATTTGCCATTGTTGTCGCCTCCCCTCTGCCGGATCTTACCATCCCTCCTCTGCAGGACGGCTCGCCCCCCTCTGCTTGCAGTCCCAGATCTAGCTCGGTCTCCCCCCTGTTTAGGTAATTCACTTGTTCTCCCTGTCACAGCCCTGCCCCCTCCCTCCCCGTCCCCTGTCCCCTCCTCTGTGACACCAAGTCTAGCTTCACCAACAATCGCCTCTGCTTCACCTGGGTCAGCCCTGTCCTCCCCTCTCACACCATCGCCCATCACCCACCACACTCACCCAATGATCACCAGATCCTTAAACAACATCTTTAAACCAAAACAGATGCACCTTGCCACCAAACACCCTCTCCCAGTCCCGGTTGAGCCCTCATGTGTGCGCCAAGCCGTGTGTCATCCCCATTGGCGAAGGGCTATGTCAGAGGAATTTGATGCTCTGGTTTGGCAAGGCACTTAGGATTTAGTTCCACCATCTCCAACCCAAAATGTTATTGGTTGCAAATGGGTCTTCCGATTAAAGAGAGGAAAAAATTGTGATATTGAGCGCTACAAGGCTCGGTTGGTGGTGAAAGGATTTCATCAACGTCTTGGCCATGATTATTCCAACACCTTCAGTCCGGTCATCAAACCAACCACCATTCACACTGTGTTTACCATTGCTGTAAGTCAAGCTTGGTCGATCTGGCAACTCGATGTGAACAACGCCTTTCTTCATGGCAAGGTTGAGGAGGACCTGTACATGGCTCAACTGGCAGGTTTTGTTGATCACAATCTTCCTCATCATGTCTGTAAATTGAAGAAAGCAATCTACGGTCTCAAGCAAGCTCCACGGGCTTGGTACACTAAATTGAAACAGTTCCTCCTTGGATGTGGTCTGGTTAATTCTCATTCTGATTGCTCTTTATTCATCTATAATAATGCTGGAATTGTTGTCTATGTGCTGGTCCATGTTGATGATATCTTGATTACTGGGAATAGTGCTACTTGTATCTCAGACTTGATTCACAGGTTGGGGCAGAAGTTTTCTTTGAAGGACCTTGGTGACCTCAGTTTGTTTTTGGGCATAGAAGCTACTAAAACCTCTGCTGGTTTATTTCTATCTCAACATAGATACATTAATGATCTCCTGTAGAAGCACAAAATGGATGGTGCAAAACCGGTTGCCACGCCTATGCCTACTTCTGGGTTGTCTTCGCAAACCAGTTCTCCACGACTTCCTGATGGCACAGCTTATCGGCAACTTGTTGGCTCCTTACAGTACCTGTCCTTAACTCATCCGGATATCTGTTTTGCTATTAATAAATTATCTCAGTATATGCACTGTCCAACTAAGATGCACTGGCAGACAGTCAAACGTATACTCCGATATCTGAAGAACACTATGTTCCATGGGCTACTGATACGACCCACTTCTACTCTTGCTCTTCATGCTCTTAGTGACTCTGACTGGGCAGGTGATAAGGACACTCGGGTCTCTACTACTGGCTAGATTGTCTTCCTTGGTGCTACCCCTATCTCGTGGAAGGCTAGCAAGCAAAAAGCCATTGCCTGTAGTTCCACCGAGGCAGAGTATAGAGCTTTGGCAGCAGCTTCTTCTGAGTTAGTATGGGTACTGCATCTGTTGACTGAGCTTGGGATTCGAATTGATGCCCCACCAATGCTTTATTGTGACAATGTTGGTGCCACCTATCTCAGCAGTAATCCAGTCATGCACTCTCGTATGAAGCACATAGCAATTGATCTTCATTTCATTCGTGACCTCGTGGACAAGAAAATTCTTCGTGTCTCTCACATTGCCTCTGCCGATCAACTTGCTGATGGGTTGACCAAACCACTTTCCTCTTCCAGATTTGCCTTACTGCGTTCCAAGATTGGTATCACTGATGGCTCTACCATCTTGTGGGGGCGTATTATGGAAACACATCATGCTACACCACCAATCACGGCTCAGTCACCTACACAGGATATCAGATCCTAATCATCCTTACAATCAGCCATTGCTAATCATATATTCTGCATTTATAAAGTTTCATTGTATTATGTATGTTGCTATTTTTACAAG